ATTCCGAGATTGGTTTTTTGTGATCCGTTAAACACGACGCGTAGTTTCGTCGTTGAGCTAGAGTTTTTAATAACACCGTGATGCAGCAGAAAGAACTCGCGTCGCGAAGAGTCTAGAGAGCCTGAAAGGTGCATATGATCCAGCTCAAGATACTCACGTAAGAATTCCGCGTATGCAGTTTTGAGGGATGCGTGTGATTCGAAGCGTGTTTCCATGCGACGCAGCATCCTGAACGCTGGAGCACGAGAGTCACCGAAATCACTCACACTTTGTCGGAACGGCAACCGAACTACGAACCACCCGTGAGCGTCACGAGAGTGAGTCGTTGTGAAGTGAAGTTCACACTGAGCTTCTTCCGGTGTGCATGTAGGATTAGGCGATGGCACGATTTCTTCTTGTTGCCAAAACCGTTGGAGTAGATCGAGAAGTTCACAATCGAGAGAGCACTGAAATCCGTTGATTGCGTCTTGCGAGAGACGATCGTTATCGTTGGAGAGTTGTCCGGATAATATCCATCCGAGAGCGGTCTTTTGCGCGATCGGTGATTCGCCGTTTCCGCGGCGAATGCCACTTTCGAGAATTTGCGCGTAGACACTTGCACCGAGAACTAAATCAATTTTTCCTGGCATTGAGAAGTTCGGGTCCGCAAGGCGGAGTCCGTCGATGTGTGGCCAGTGAGTGGATGCAATTTTCGTGGGTGGCAAGTAGGCGGTGAGTTTCGGCAGTATGAGAGCTTCCAGGTTGATATAGAATGCCGAATTGATCCGCGAGATAATTTCGAGAGAGACTCGTCCGTTTGAGACATCGGAGCGTTGTGCGCCGATTCCGAGAATCGGGACGGACGCTGGCTTACGTGATAACTTTAGAAGCTGCGCAGCGGACTCGGAGATAAACGATGCTTCTGATCCTTGATCGAGTAATGCCCGTAGCTGGAATCGTTCTCCAGTTCGAGAGATAGCCGTAACTAAAGCGGTAGCAAGGAGCACTGGAGTGCGTTTAATTATGCGTGATTGTGCAATATGACTGCACGTGTGAGAAGCGCCGAATTGTTGGTTGGTTTGAGATGCTCCAGAGTTGTCCGTGGTAGGGCCGCTAGCCGACGGGACGGAGACTGCCGTCGTAGTGGAGGCGTCGGATTCGACCGTAGCTACATGCAACGTTGAGTGATGTTGCTTGCGACAGAACCGACAGCGTTTCGAAGTTCGACATGCCTTGAGGTAATGAGGTCCGAGACAATTGAAACACAGATTTTTTGCAACGACAACCTCGCGTCATTGATTCACAGTCTTCTCGAGGTATTTCGGGCACGCGATATAATGTCCCGAGCTACACACTGCACACTGTTGTACGGCAGCGGTAGCGGCGTATGCTCGTGCATTTGACTGCGAACATACTGACGTAGCATTTGAAGCTGGTTGCTTAACCATTTAAGCATCACGACTCGTTCGATTGATTCCAGTGTTTGCACGCGTCCTACCAGAAACTGTTCTAGCTCACCGAAGGACGGAGATGTAGATTTTGCACCGAGAGTTTTCTCCCATTCCTTCAATGATTCGACGTCGAGCTTACGTACGATCACGAAGACGATAATGTGGTCCCAGGATTTTACTGGACATTCGAGAGCTTCGAGGGCGTCGAGCGCCTCTTTCACATCGCCAAGAAGTCTCTTGATTTCTGCTGCACTTACCGTTTTCAATTTGCGAATCGCCAATAAGGCGGATAGTTGCGCGTCGATCTGAACTCGTTTATTATCGTAGCGCGTTACGAGAATTTCCCATGAGCGTTTAAGATTTTCACTAGTGATGGGAATGTTCTTCAAATGTTGCGCTGGTTCACCGGTTAGACTCATTTTTAAGTAATGGAGCTTTTCGACAGCCGAGAGATCGTTGTTTTCCATGACGATGGACTTGAAGAGATCTCGAAAGGAGCTCCACTGAACGTAGTCGCCGGAAAACTTCGGTAAGTCGATGCGCGGTAATCGTCGAGAGTGAGATCCTGTCGGCGACTTAGTTGCATTGGTAACGGTAGCCTCATGCTGCGCTTTGCGATCTAACTGGTCCAGCATATCGAGCATAAATCCGTGCGCTTCATGGTATTTATCTTCACAGAGAGAGTACACGTTCTCGGTAACGTATGGAAGCTGCTCTACCTCGGCATGCTTGGCTTTGATCAAGTTGTCATGATACACGATGAATTTCTCCCAATTGACCTTGAGAGAGCCTATTCGACTTTGGACCGCGCCGCGAGTGATCCGTGCAGCTCCGAGCTTATTGAGATTGTCGACAGAACGAGAGATGAGCCCAAAGAGATCGTTCTGTCGAGCAATGACGTCAGTTACAGTGGTCATTTTCGAGAATGTCGAGACGAACTTGAGATATACACAATTCACAAAGGTTCACTGATTTAATTGTCCACGTGGCAAATCCCACTTGCACGCGCGAACGTAGAGAGTACGCGAAAACCGCGAATAGAGTTTGTCTTATGCGACTGAGCGCGAGCGAAACGTATTAGAGCGAGAGAATCGCGTTAGAGCGAGAGAATCGCGTTAGAGCGAGAGAATCGCGTTAGAGCGAGAGAATCGCATTAGAGCGAGAGCGGCTCAGCAGGCACCGATACACTAACACCTCTGATAACAAAATTCGCGAACTCCGATCATCCGGCTCGAAGGACCAGCAATGTTGCGAGAAGAAAGTGGTACCGGAAACCAGGTCCGCTGGTGACGGTCGGAATTGTACGCGAGCGATCACGAGGAGTCAGAAGGTGTCGAAAAGAAGAGAGTCGGAGCGATATACAATGCGATGTGCTGCTGAGCTTTATTCGAGATCAACTGACAATAGAATTAAGCGATATACGTACCGAGGTACCGAGAGGTAACCTTCGCTTCGCGGGAAAGACAGAAAAGGTTGCGAATGTATATATCGTGTGACACGAAGTAAACAGCTGATCGTCAGAAAAACTATCATGAATTCTGATCGTGTCGGTACCGGTAACAAGCGCGTTTGGAACAGAATAATTGTTGACAGGAATAAACGCTGAAAGTCAATCGATAACGAGCACACATGTTTAATAATATTAATGATATGAATCTGAATATTTACTGAGTTTAGTCTAAACACTTTTAAATAACGCTAACGCGTTACTTTTTAAAATCGGTAACGAATAACGGTAACGAATTACCTTTTATCGCAAATAACGGTAACATTAACGCGTTACTTTTAAAAAATAACTTTCCCAATCCTGATATATACAGGGTGTTAGTTAAGTATGTTGGCATACTCAACAGAGCGATTCTTTGATTTATTTCAAGTAAAAAAGTCCATATAAACATATGTCCTAAACGGTTTAGTTTCCGAAATAAAAAAATTTAAACGTGTAGTAATAATCTGTATATTTGAAAGAAATACAGCTTGAACTAGTCAAAAACTAGTCAAAAACGTGTCAAAAACATGCTTCTCTCTTTCTCTCTCTCAGTTCTTCTGATGAAATAAAATAATTAGATGAATTGTTGAAAACGTATGTTCAAGCTAACTGACCTGCAGCAACATCAGAACTGAAGTCTATTTTTGATTTTGTGACTTTGACTTTGACTTTGTCACTTTGTTTACGGTTGTGCGAATGATGGTAATTCACGTGAAGCAAGGCATATTTATGCAGGGAGATATCTCCAACGCAATTTAATGTTTCGTCAAACATTTGCGAACATTCACCTGTATTTCGGAAACTAAGCCGTTTAGGACACATGTTTATATGGACTTTTTTACTTGAAATAAACCATAGAATCGCTCTGTTGAGTATGGCAACATACTTAATTAACACCCTGTATACATTTATAATCAAATTTAAATCTCATAGAACCGACGCGTGCAGAACTCACTAATAATATAATTGTTAATATGGCTCAATTAGAATAAATCAATAAATAAAAGAAGGGCAACCAGCCAATTATAATGTAAGATATTTAATAATCGTATATATACCATACAAACGTTTCGACACCGATCGGGTCATTTTCAATGTAAAACAACAAACACTCTTACATAAATTATCGGAAAATTCGGTCAAATTATAATGTCCAGTGAAAAATTCGGCTGTATTCATAAAATGCGGTCCATATGTAAAAATATCAAAAGAGATCACATCTCACTTTTCATAATTCTACAATCTCACAAATAAATAATACATTAACATTGCGTTATAGATTAAATTAATTATCGATGTACATTTATAGTGAATTAAATTAAAATGCAAATTAAATAAAACATATATACCTTATATTGTCTTAATGATGTAAAGTAGACGCCGATAGGAAAACGCAAATAACAAAGTTGTATTTAATAAAAAATAAGCCATGATACAATTGGATGTAACATTTAAACTCAACGATGTCAAGCGACGTTATGACAAAAAGGAAACAAAGAAATAGGACAGATAAAAGGAAGGAGACAAAGGACAATGTTAAGAGGGGGAAAGAGATTGGATAATGTTTAGATATGATTCTGGCAGAGATTCTGTGTCATTTTGTTTGTTTAGCCATGCGTTTGTCGTTTTATGTGAACCATCTCCGATATCAATCTCTTATTAAAGGAAGCTTCTATGTCTAAAATTTCCACATTGTCCCAGTCGAAATTGTGATTCTGGTCAATGCGGTGACTTGTGATCACTGTTGGGGATTTTGACTTCTTATTGATATCAGAGACATGTTCGTGTAATCTTGTCTTTAGTTGTCTTTTGGTCTGACCCACGTAACTGGCTTCACAATCATCACAAGAGATCTTGTAAACTACATTTTGATTGCTTAAGGGATCTAGTTGATCTTTACCCTTTTTAAGGCTCCTGAGTAGTCACGGCAGCCATGTTAGAATCGTGACGTCAGAAGCGAGGAATGACACGTCAATTTATGTTGCGTGCCATTTGTAAATAAAGACAATTAACGTGAAAAATTTCTCCCTGTGATCTTTTTCTCGACCGTTCCACTTTTATTAGTGTGGAACTTTATTCTTTTTTGAATTGAAGAAAAAATAAAATCTAGTGGATAACCGTTATTTAAAAAAATATTTATTGCCTTAATCAAATTGTTTTGCTGGAAACGTGGATGACATAACCGTATAATTTTGTCGACCAAACTGTAAATGACACCCCTCTTATGACAAATTGGATGGTGTGAATTAAAATTTAGAAACCTGCCAACAAACGTCGCTTTACGAAGTCAAAAACTAGAGCTTGATCTTCCACAATCAACATAGTATCTAAGAAACTTAGTTTTCCATCTATGCCAACCTCCATAGTGAATTGTAATCTACACTATGTAAATTAAAAGCTCATTTAGAGGTATAACAGTCTTCCCCGATATATAATCCCATCTCTTTCATCAGACACCTGCTGGTATCATTGGACGTCGTTTCTTTGTTTACGAATGTTCCCATAGAATTGGTCTGATGGTATTACAAAGAGATGGGATTATATACCGGGGAAAACTGTCATACCTCTAAATGAGTTTTTAATTGCTGTTCGTTTGGTTTTAAATTCCACCTTTTTTATGTTTAATAACAAACTTTGCAAACAGATTTTTGATACTCCGATGGGTTCTCCTTTATCTCCAATTGCTGCGGATATAGTCATGCAAGATTTCGAAAGAACAGCAATTGAAAAATTACCTGTTAAGCTCTTATTTTATTTTCGATATATGGATGATATTATCTTAGCGGCTCCATCTGAGAGTACTAATGACATCTTAAACACATTTTTAATTCCTTACATAGTAGATTACAATTCACTATGGAGGTTGGCATAGATGGAAAACTAAGTTTCTTAGATACTATGTTGATTGTGGAAGATCAAGCTCTAGTTTTTGACTTCGTAAAGCGACGTTTGTTGGCAGGTTTCTAAATTTTAATTCACACCATCCAATTTGTCATAAGAGGGGTGTCATTTACAGTTTGGTCGACAAAATTATACGGTTATGTCATCCACGTTTCCAGCAAAATAATTTGATTAAGGCAATAAATATTTTTTTAAATAACGGTTATCCACTAGATTTTATTTTTTCTTCAATTCAAAAAAGAATAAAGTTCCACACTAATAAAAGTGGAACGGTCGAGAAAAAGATCACAGGGAGAAATTTTTCACGTTTCCTTACGTGAGTTCGGTGTCGGAAAAGTTTGCTCCAATTGCTAATAGGTGTCATTGTAAATTGGCCTTCTCGATACCAAATTCATTAAATAATTTTATTAA